TGCTCACCCAGAGGTAGCCCTGCGGCAGTGACGTGCTGACGGCGGAGAAGCCCAGCAGCGAGGACTGCACGGGGTTGTGCACCGCGGCACCGAGCTGCAGGGAGAGACACCCCCGAGTCACCCCAACGCACGCCGGGCATAGCTGCACCCCCCCAGAACTCGAGATTCAAGATCCACCACAGCCCCAACCTCGTCTTTCACAGAATCACAGAATGTTCGGGGTTGGAAGGGACCTCTGAAGATCATCCAGTCCAACCTTCATCCCAGCACACCCAACCACTACACCACAGCCTCAAGTGCTAGATCTAATTTTTTTTTAAACACCTCCAGGGTTGGTGACTCCACCACCTCCCTGCGCAGCCTGTTCCAGTGCCTCACCACTCGTTCAGTAAAGAACTTCCCCCGAATATCCAATCTAAACTTACCCTGACGCAACTTGAGGCCATTTCCCCTTGCCCTGTCATTAGTAATTTCCAATTGTCTGAGGTGAATTGACCCCCAATTCCTGCCTTTGCAACCAGCTCGGTCGTCCCACCCACTGCAGGATTTCTGCCTTTCCTCCCCAAAAGGGTAAAGGAGGTATCGGAAGGGATGGAGAACAGGTTGGTCCCTCGCTCTTACCTGCAGATCGAGCGCCTTGGAGAAGGCAGGCATGTGGCAAGAGAGGATGGGGCACCAGAAAGGAGCTTTGCTCTTCTTGTCTTCATCGGGACAGAGCCAGCCCGGCTGGTTCTCCTCCCCTGCAGCGAGCAGAGAAGATTCAAGGATGGTCAAGGCAACCCCCAGCATCCCTCCCCGATGGGACCCCAAAATTAATAATTTGAGGGGAAAGGCTCTCACCTCCGACCCCAAACCATCATCCCCCGTGGACCCACAGTCCATCTCACCCCTTTCCTCCAAACTACTGGATGCCAGAGCAGCCCGTGGCCAAGCGACCACCTTGAGCCGCGGCCAGAAAAGCCCCCAAAAATCAGATAACGTAGATAGAAAAGGGAGGAAAAATATACCCTAATGTGTTTCTTCACATTAGGCTTTAATGTGTTTTCATTTCTAACTCGTGGATACAGGATTATCCCCCAGGCATCCAAGATTAAAAAAACAAAACAAAAAAAAAAGCAACAACAAAACCACATAAACTGTTAAAAACAAGAGAATCAAAAATCGTTCCAGCCCCGGGGGGATCCAAGCACTCAAATAGGATTTCAAATGATTTTTATTTTTTTTTCCTGCGGTGCTGGAGTTAAACAGGAACAGGCTCCTCCCTTGTTTTATTCATCCCATTTCTCCAAAAAGGGGTGAGCCCCATCCTTTCCAGCGCAAAGTATTCTCCCATCACCTTCCTCCAATTTTTTCCCTGTCCCTGTTTCACGCCGGGATGCTCGGAGCGAAGCAAACCCCTCTCCTGCTCCCGAATTTGGCTTTTTCAAAGCAAGGAGCAGGGCAAACGCCGCGGGGGCTACTCACGCAGCCCTATCTTGGCCAGGTGCAGGCGGTTCACCCAGGAAATCTTGCTCAAGGGGTTTGGAGTGATGAAGACCACCATGACGCTGATGGGGCGGCCGGACCTGCGTAGGGA